TATAGTCCTCCCCGGGAGAACCCATTTCCCATCACAACCTTCTTCATCCCTCCCAGAACCTTTGCTTCTCCTATCAAAACCGCTCTCACCCTGCTGCCGTCTGTTGGCAGCAACATCTGCCTCCATCTCATCAAACATGAACTGGCCATCCACAACTTGTCAGAATCGGCTCATTAGAGCGGGTCGAAATGCAGCATGCCCTTCCACCGCGGATACCCCTTTGCTCCCTTCGAAAATGCCAGAGAAAATGATGCTTCGCTTTTGAGGCAGATGAAGGGGAGGCTTTTGTCGGTCAGTCTTTTCGTCATTATTCCTCCTTTTCCCACCCGTTTTCATCTCGTGAGCAAGAGGAAGAGAGAGCGCGAGAGAAAACATCAAACATTGCCGAGTCCCACGTCTCAAGCATGAGTCTAGCCGCCCCGTCATGATCTTTTGTTGCAATCTTTTTGTGGCGAATCGGTCAAATACGAGAGAGAGAATAAGAAACAAAAGCAGACCAAATCCATGGAGTGCCCAGCCCGAGCGGAAAATATCAAGAGCGAAAAGGATGGTCGATCGGCCAGAGTCGCCTCTGGTTGTTGATCCGTTCGAAAGTAGCGGACGGCCTCTGGCTGGTACTGTACAATCCCAGCCTAGCGCCTGGTCATCAAAAGTCTTGAAAAAACATGAACAGTTCTGGAAAAGACGAGAGAGAAATCCCAACGGTTTTGTCCGAAATTAGAAGGCGACCGGCCGGAAGGATGAAGGAGCGCAAAAAGAAATCAGATGTGCCGCGCGGAAACCATGAGTCTAGGTCATTAAGTCGTTAGGAGTCGTCGCCGATGAAAGATTCGCGTCGCTTTTGCCCATTTTGGACCAATTCTTCTCCCACCTCTTGTGTACCGCCAGGCCCGGTGCCTGGAGGGGTTGGACAATCCTTGTGGCAGTTCGAAACCCTTTATAGGTGCCGACTTGGGCTCTTGTCATCATGCCGGGCAGAGACGCGGGCTGCCGGTCCGTCCTTAGTCAAAAGAGGCCGTCGAGCTGCTGCTCGAATGGTGACCAGATCGACGGTGGCTGTCTCGCGAGCTGTGACTGGACGACGTGTGGCGGCTCTTCTTGGAGCGGCGGGCAGTCTCAGTGGCCGGTAACCCTTGAACGATGCCGTTCCGGGCAAGCATGCCACCGTTGACCGAGAAGTTGCGGCAAACCATGAACGCACGCATGGCGGCGTTTTCTTGGGCCAGCGAGTCGGATTCGTACGCGAGATCCGTTTGGTACTCTCGTCCGTTGACCAGAACCAGGCATGTGTAACCGCTGTGGTCCCGGTAGCACTCGTACGTAGGATCCCGCCATCCACGCCGTCTGCAAAGGCCTAGATTGGATCAGTTAGCCCCTGGTCTTCTTTCACTCGTTCGGGATCATGACGATGGCAGAGCTGGGCGGGATATGCGCGTCTACGCCTCACCGAGGCGATGGCAGATTTCTGCATTAAAGCCCAACACCCTCAATTTTCCCCTTGGAGCCCTGCATGCCGTTTCCCAGGGGCCGCAACTTGAAGCTGACGTCGATCATGAGGCTCGAAGCCACATCCCGGCTCGTCAAGATCCATCAAGGCCCAAGATACGCATGCCATTACTGCCTCTTGAGAGCATGCAGGGGTAGGCACACGATCTGACCCATTCCCCAGGTCATGATGACCAGCCCCACTTATACAGACAATGGTGATGGCGAGGTTCAGGGAAGCATTGGGCTTTGAACAACTCATCTGCAAAACTCAATTGATGACTTACTCTCAAGGTATTGCATGTAAAAGCCTCCCATGTTGACGATGGTCCCCAGTGGATCGATTACGAGGCGTGGCGACGGTTCGGGACTGCAGGTCCAGTGTGGATATAGACTGGCCGTGGCAGGGGGGGGAGGACGTCGTCTCAGAGCCGGAGAGAAAGAAAAAGTGAAGCAAGAGAAGAGGGTTGACTCTTAGCCAAACAAGGGGATCAAGATCCGGACGCCGTGGGATGCAATCGAGCCCAACGATGGTGAGGCGAGCAGAGAGATCTGTGGTTCAGGGCGGCCTGGGCTCGCACGCACTCTTCGCACCACACGCCGAGCTGTCTTGGGGGGTCGTATGTGAGGCGTAGGGCAGAAATCCGGGGTGTACTCGAGGGTAGGCGAGTATGTATGAATTGGCTCAACGAGACTGAAAGAAGAAGAGCTGGGATCGGGCAGGTTTCGAATTGTTTTCGTGGTTTCCGGGTTGGAGAAGTAAGGCCTGAGGAGGTATGGGGGGACAGATGAAGAAATTCGGTGGAAGGGGTGCTGATGTGTTGTAACTCGCGAAGTATGTGGATGGGTTGTGTGTGCGTGTGCGCGTGGTGGGTGTGGGTGGGTGGTGTTGTAAGTTAGACTACGTATCCAGGGCTTCCGCTTCTTGGGTTGCAGGAAAGCATCTGAGCCATGAATGGCGAGACATGTGTCTGCTTTATTGCAGAAAAAGGTGCGTTCTCTTTTTTCCCCCCCTCTCTCTCTCTCGTGCTCTGGGCTTGTTGATGAACTAGTGCGGGGGCAGGGGGAGGGGTGGAGGGGGTGGTCTAGCAACAGGTCCCAGGTCCAACATCAACGTTTGTAATGGTACATCAACATAGCAACGACACTATCCGTAGCAGTATGCGGTAATGAAAGCTGCGGCGGCAACGGCAGCGGCAGGAAATGAGGGACCGGACGAGCGAAGGAGGGGATGCAAGTGTGTGTACCTTGGAGTGGGGAGAGGAGGTCGACAAGCAGCAGGGCGTCTGTGTCGGAGCAGGGACGTGGAAAGACAGACGCCGAGTGGACAGGGAATAGGAAAAACCGGGCACTGCGGAATGTGCACGACGGGGTGGTTCTCTCTTTTTTTTTGGTTACTTTTGGTTCGCGATGCAAGCGGCGATGCGGCTCTCGAAAGAGTGTGACCCATGCTTTGCTGCGTTGGCTCATCTCGTTGCCAGTTGATAAAAACCGCTGGAGACTAGACAACCCCACACAGCAACACTCCAAGGAGGGGGAGGGGGGGTACCAGCATCATCGCTGGGCCAGGGCCAGGGCAGCCCAGACGAAGATCTACTTTTGCTGAGAGGTCGGTCCCCTGCTTACCTGTTAGTGGTCTAGTGGTCTAGTGCTCCAGCCCCTTGGACGCTCATCGCTAGGCCTGGCCGTTCGTTTGGCGTCCTGTGCCGTTGTAGCGAGCGAGTATCGAGAACCATCGCTGTAAAACACATAGGTATCTCGATAACGCCCCTGAGCCTCGGGAATTCACCGTACACGATGCTTCATGTGTTCAAGGTGCTTCAGATGCCTCGGGTCCCCATGCTGCCTGTGGCGGTCCTGGCAAACCCCGGCTGTGGTTTTGGCGTGGCTTCTGCTTTTGAGAAATGCTACCTGTGCAGCCGCCGGTCTTGCCGCCGCCGTGGACCGACTTACACTTTGTCCAGTTTAGAGCGGGTTTCTACTTTGCTAACGACATCATCGTCACAAGCAAAGGCGCGCGCCTCCATGCGCGAGAAGTGTACATGCATACATGGTCGGAACTTTGGATGAAGTCTTCTGATGACCGTGTGGCCCGCCGGGTCGCATGGAGGGCTGCCTTAGCTGCTCTAGGGCTACGTACAGCAGAAAAGAGTGCCAATTTTGGAGGCGAAGGAAAAAAAAAATGAGAAAGAAAAAGGCAAAAGACTGACGAGGGCTGCAAATGCAAAGCCGGTGGCGAAATGGAACCATTCAGAATGGCAGGATCCAATCTGGTGAGCCGGTTTCGTTTGGCTGTACATGGAGACGATTCGCACGACAATCGTACCTCGTCGAAGAAGCAGCCAAGTGACTCTCCCCCAATGGTGGGCAGGACATGGGGGATACGCGGTCCCAAGTCCTCGTTTTTGGTCTCTGATTGACATGTTTCGAACTCGCGGCATGTCAAAACGCCAGAGCATCCTTATTTGATTTCTTTGAGCTTTCAAGGAGGGATGTGCCTGGTAACACTTGGGTAACCCTACCCAGTCAGCGTCGAGAGACAAAGGACGACTGGTGAGAAACCCAAGTTCCGAGTTGTTTGTGTTAGCGGCGACTAACGATGCACCTGTAATCGGCCAGCGAGAAAAAGGCCGATTAGCATCCGTAAACATTTGATTAGCAGCATGCCAGAGGTGCCGGTCGTTTTTATTTTCATTTCTCGTGGCCATCGTGGTTGGCGTTGCCCACCGCCAATTGTTCGTTGCTCTGCCATGGGTGGGTTGAGCATCGTGTTGCTGTTCCGAATCTGCCATCCATCGCTATGTCTGTACATCGTACGTATGAGGCCATGTGCATTGGTTGCTGGGCTTGCGTGCATGTATGGACTGTGGTCGACGACAACCTTTGCTGTGGTGGCAAGTCGATGCATACCGTAGGTTCGGACTCGGAGTCGAGCACCTCCAGCACTGCACTGCGTATGTACATACGTAGGAGACGTCGACTTCGAGCCCCATTGTTTACACAGCTCCGCTTGTCGGTTGCCCGCTTGTGGTGCGGGACCCGACGTTGAGGAATTGGAACAGCAAGGCCGATAACTTGGAAGGTGACGTTGTGATACCAACAGAGAAGGACGGAGAACCTAGGAGTAGAAGAAGGGTCGACCACTCCATGTTCGTCTGCGCCATGACAGGCAAAGCCTGGCCGTGCCAACTGATGCTACTGGGACAGGGGAACGACAACGGTTGAAAGGCCAGGCGCCGGACCCACGTTTGGGATCATCCAGTGGCTCCCAATGATGTGCAGCGATGGCGGGCGATTCGCAAGGCCTCATCAAAGTCAAACCTGTCAGTCGGCCTGTCTTGTCGCCTAAGCCAGCTATTGTACCCAGTCAGAATCGGCGAAAATCGAAATCCCTCGTGAGCCCCTCGACAAATCAGCTGCGGAGAAAGTAGACAAATCCCCGTGCGGTGATGTATATGTACACTGGTAAAGACCCCTTGCGGTGACGGAACAGGGTGCCGCAACAAAGCAGCAAATCAGCGGTCACCGGGCGGCCGGTCGGTCGTTGGCCCGGAGCGTGAGCCAGGGTGGCTACTAAAATAGAGGCCAGTGGAGAGAAGAGCGAAGAAGGATGGATACTTGGACAAAGGCGAGGGGCGGTTGGCGGCGAGACGCTGGTTCTCGTAATCGTGCTGCTGCTGCTGTTGCTGCCGCTCACGGGGTTGGGGGTCAAATGTCGTTCTCCAGAGAAAAGGGAGTTCGACGAGACGTAAAACTACTATGTACATGGCGGACGTCCAGTGGCCAACCACAAGTGAGGTTCATGGGCCCCTCAGCAGGCGGCAGAGTCCCCCCCCGCAGACAGGATCGTAAGGTCGGTGAAGGGCTCATTTCTCATGTCTTGTTGCTGCGAGGGACGTGGACGACGTGCATGAACCCTCTGAGCGCCGAGAGATGGCTGCTGGGAGTGGATTCGACGGGGCGAGATCCATTGACATGGGGAACTCTGTCGACATTGGAGTGGGATGAGCGGCATGGGATCGATGTAGTGTGCGCTGGCGGATTGCATGTTAGTTCTCCATCTGCAAGAAGCATGTTCCTCTGCGTTCCCCTCCTCTCTTTCTTTGAGTATTGCGAGAGTTACAGCGGATGCCGAATGTTGCCTAGATCGACCGAGGGCCCTCTCGCTGTAAGGTGAGGCAAAAGTTGAAGGCCACAAGCTAGTATGGACTTGGAAGGCGAGTGTGGAGGGGCAGAGGAAAAGAAGAAGCAAAAAGAGGGAAGCGTAAAAGCCACGCGAACACAAACCGTTGGATGGCCAGAAGCGGACGACGGCGACAGGACCGAGAAGGGTGGGAGGACGGAGGCACTGACGATGGAAAGCCGCGAGGGTTGTGAGGAGGTCAGGGTAGGTACGGACACATAGAGGTGGAGAGCTTTGAGTGGTCGAATTCGTTGTGTTGTTGACGTTGCTGCTGCGCGGCGTGGGGAAAGTGGGAAAGGGCCGCGGTCGTTGAGTACCAATTTTCGCCTGGACAGACGAGAAAGAGGTACGTCGCAGCAAAGTACAGTTACTATCCATCATCCATGGGATACCTTGGGCGCGCGCTGGTGGTGCCGCTGCTTCAGTAACAGTAGCAATAGTAGCAGTAGCAGCAGCAGCAGCAGCCGCCGCCGCCAAGATGTAGCGCAACAGCGGGTGCGCGCGCGGAGGAAAAGACTAGGCAAAGAAAGCGCAGGCCCTTGGGATGCAGGTCATGCAATGATGAGCTGGCAGTGCCGCTGGCGAGACCTCGATCGAAAGGCAAGGTACTTTAACTTGCATTGCCTTCCCTCGCTTGCCTCGTTGGCTTTACCTGAGATCTCAGGTGTTCTCACCTCTGAGTCCATGCTGCGCCTGGCAATTGTCGTCTGTGAACTCTCGTGCTCTTGCCCCCCGGTTCGCAACTGCGATCTGGCAATGCAAGGCAGGAGGCAGAGGTTGATAGGTACACTAGGTGGATGGGGTCATGCACGTCGAGTTGGGAAAAAGGTTAGATTGCGGCGGGCGAACTGTTGCTGCTGTTCATGGAACGGAGAGGTTGGCAGATTGTGGCGTGCAGCTTGAAGGTGCAGGAAAGGAAAGGATCGGTCAGCGAATCGCCCGTGCTTTCCTTCCCGAAGCAATCTGGAAGCGAGAGGAAGGCGCCGGCGCTTCGCTCTCGTAGATGAGGTACCTTGGGTAGGCACTCGCTCACAGACTGACTGCCTGCTTGCCTCCCTCCTTCCGTCCCTCCTCTGTTCCTCCTGCCTTTGCACTCGTCTCGTCGCCGACTGCAACATTTTGTCGTCGACTGCGGAAGTCAAACCTCGTCGTAGGTTTGATACTGGTGATATGGGGCGGGAAAAAGCAAACCACCATTCCCCCCTCCGAGGACTCCCAGGACCTTCCCTGACAACTCTTACCAAGCTAATGAAGCACGGAAGGTGCTACGAACAAGCCAACGACCCTTCCTGACCAAAGAGCTACCTACCTTACTTTTTAGCGCTCACCGTCGACGCCGCTCCGCCACCTGATTCGACAATGGCATCTTTCTGGAACCCTGTCGTCGTCCCTTCTACCGGTATGTACAGAGTATCTGAACCGAGTTGAGCTTCCCCTCTGGTATCTGTACCCCCTCTCCACCTTTCTCCCCACTCCACCGCCGGCTTTCTCTTAGTGGGAGGAGAGAGAGAAGGAGGAGAGGGAGGAGGCTGGAGTGACGTGACGTGACGTGAGTTGACAAACGGCAAGAGAGAGTAATGTGTCGTCTCTTCTCGGACACAAACAACCTACGTGTCACACATGTCGATGACCGGCTTCGAATGAGAAATCGGAGGACCAACAAATGTTTTCCCTCCTAGGCCCCACCGACTAATGACACACATGGCACGACGAAACATCATACCAGACTCGGGCTGTACAAAGTGGACATCTGCTGGAACCCAATCAGCCAAGATCCGGTGCTCCAACGACCCCTCTGAAGAGCACGGCCGTCCTCGCAAAGTGGATATCCGTCTACATATGTAGTAGACTTCGGACTGGGGATATCCTCACCACGCCCGGAATCTCCCCCGAGACATTTCTCTCGAGGGGTCCTTCCTTGTACACGTCCACACTAGCCATGCTTGAGTGAGAGGGAGAGAGACAATACCACTTGCCTCGTCTTTCCGTACCATCGTCGCCGGTTTACCGCGGCAACAGAATACCCCCCAAGAGAGGCCCCTCACCGTCTCACATTCTCTGGCCACTTCTTGTCGGACAGAATCCTATCATGACAGGAGTCGTCAATCCCCAACATCCACAACCGGACTTTTTGGTGACCACAATCTGCGGGATCCGGTCGCTCGGGATTAACAATATGTGATTATGCTGGCGTCCCGCTTGTGAATCAAGTACTACACCCCGTCCGGAGCTGACTTGGCCTGGCACCGTAGCTATCGACGAGGGGTGTGAGGGGCAAAAGAACAAATAATAAGACACATCAGGGACCCCTCCTCGCCAGTCCATCTGCCACACACCACCCCGCCCGCAGAAACAACACACCTGGCCTTCTTTCAACGTCATTTGTGTCCTGGAAGTCGCATATGGACAGATCGCCATTGGATAAACCCGCCAACAGACCCGAGAAGATGGGGGGTTTGTCAGAGTCAAAGAAGACGCCCGACCTCGAAGTGGCACCCTCGTTGAATCGATGTCGCACCACATACCAGACCGCCGTTCTGCCGTTTCGCCTGCAGAATACCATGCCATGCCATCCTCTGACCTGCTCTGTTCTGCTCACTCTTCTTGGAGTGACTTTCTTGTGTCTTCGTCCTACTATGCGGCGCGAGCAGCATAGGCATGCTGCTGCTTACCGTCGAGGCTGACCCGGCGGATCCAACCTAGATTTCTTCCCGCCCTCGCCTTTAACAGCCAACAACGCGTCCTCCCCCGGTAAGAAGTTGGAAGCGACATGAATTCTAGAGGCATTTGCGGCAAGTTTCAGCGGCCATGAACATAGCTGGGAACGTTCCCCGGCTCTTTTGGTTTGATATCAGAGGCCGTCGAAAAGAGGGGCCACATGCGTGTTGTTCATGTATGACAACAAAAGACATCTGCTCAGGCCCTGCTCAGGCCCTGCGCGGTCCTGTAAGGCGAGATGCGCCAATCGAACCTCGCATGGTTGCCATGGGCCAGGTCGTTCTGCTGGGGTTATCCACCGCGCTCGCAGCAATCAGTCTTCTCCTCTTGATCGGTCTACTGTCCACACACGCACGAGAATGCCGATTTAGTTTCTCTTGCTTCTAAGTTGTCTCAGGGCTGGGCTGGTCCCTCACTCTCTGTGTGTGTGCTCCCCTGATGTCTCAAACCTGCCATTCTAAGACAAGCATCCAAGTCGTCCCATAACTGTCAAACTACAATCAGGCATGGGTGGGCGGACACACAAGAACCGCATGGCAGAGACATCCAAGTGGCGTGTTGCAGGGGCCCAAGCCGCCAGATTGGCCCAGCTTGAGATGATGTGCATTTCGCTGTCACCACGTCGTGGCGCCGAAAGTCAGGATAAGCAGCAGAACGACCCTTCTTTCCAGACCATGTGCAGCCTTCGGCCATCGAAAGAGGCGTCGGTGGAAATGTTGGCCCGCTGTGGGATGGATGGTGAGGGAGGTGAGCGATGTACATGCCGAACTGGATCTGCCCCGGCGGCCACTTGGTCCCTTTAAAAGCCAGAAACGTTGCTTTGATATGTATTATCTGCCATAACACATCCATCCCCCATGCAGACTGTATGCTTGATTCGCGTGCTGCAGCTGACGCCCGGATTCCTCGTCTAACTCGGGCTTTCGGGAGGCCCAGCCTGGAACGCGACATGCACAACCACAACCGCCGCCGCCGCCGCCACCACCACCAGCAGGTTTCCTGCGCCGTCATATTGCCGTTGATGAGTTGTTCAAGAATATCACATACGATCCCTGTACGAGATCTCTTTCTTGCGCCGCTGCTCGAGCCCGAGATGCAGGCGTCATTCCGTGGCGTTCCTTACGCAGTCCCGCCCGCTTCCCTTTCTAGTCGTCGGGGGGCCGTCAGTAGGCGCGTCTTTAAATCACCAAGCTCATCACGGAAACGTCTCCGCTACTCTAAACGGCCCGATCCTTTCTTCTCCTAGCCCACGTGATACAAGACCTCCAATGTGCCTCTTCCTGGTCCTCCTCCTGGTCCTCCTCCTCCTCTTTCTCCGTACATAGAGGGGGGGGCGGCCGCTTTGAAGGCGGCCAGGCTCCGTGGCAGGCTTCAGAATCCCTGTCTGGACTCGAAATACGCCTTCATGTCGTCGACGCTCTCCTGGGGGATGGTGTAGACGGGGTGGATCGTCCCGACGCGGTCCTCCTCGTCGAATATCTGTGTTCCTTCGGCACACGGCGACACCACCCACTTGGGCTCTGGGAGGATCGTCTCATCTTCGTTGACATATGTAAGATCCCACTGATGCTGCGCCGAGCTCAGCCCCGAGAGGACATAGCAAGTGTGATACGCATCCGAGGGCCTTTATCGTTCGAAAAGTCAGCAATCAACGTCACACGGAAACAAGCGTTCTACTGCTGAATCTCACCTGCTGGGCTTGTCACGGAGGCCACCACGTTTCGACCGGTCCTGGCCGCAGCATAGGATGTACCGGATCAGCCCTTCTCGACTGTACAGACTGCCCTGATGGGGACTGAGTCGACCATCGGTTGGCGGATCCTCGAGCTCGCTCGCACCCTTCAGCACGGCGTCGATCAACGGCCAACACCCACCAACCCAATGGCTGTAGCAGCCGTCGACGAGCTTGTTCGTACGGCCACTGAAGCCACCCTCCGGGGCGTACTGCCGTGACGAGAGCCAAGAGATCAGTCGTGGCACGTCAAGGTATCTGTCGCTCGGGAGGCAGGAAAGAGTCAGTTATGCGCTGCTTTCATGTCAACCCCTCAGTGGACGAGGGGGTGGGCTCCCAGCGGGCCTGTACGTACTTTGGGATGATGCGGTGCGGAGTATCCAAGATCGAGAGGCAGCCCAGCGCGCAGAAAGCATACGCTCCATGCGCTTCACCATCCGGCTTTCCCGATATTCCCCCCTCGAACGTCTGGCCTTTATTGGGTGAGCGCGGGCAGGCGGGCGAGAAATGAGGCAGCCGGAGCTAAGGCATGACTTACATTTGCGTACATAGTCCGCCAATCCAGTGAAGAGCGTGGGCCGCTCAGGCGTCCAGGCTGGCGAGTCGGTAGAGAGGTCGAGAGGGAGGTTCAGGAGGGTTACAATAACGGCTGCACAATATGCTCCCCTAGAGAACCTGTCAGAAAAGAAAACAACGTTCGCTCGCATGCTCGCACGCACGCCACGCCGAGCGAGCGAGCGAGCGAGAGGTTGTTGTCATGTCAAAACCCACCTGACGTCTACTTCCCCACCCAGGGTCATCTGAATCCCTCCGCTTGGTTGTTTGAGGGAGCAGAGCCACCTCCACATGGCTTTCCTGTCTATGGCCTCATACGCCTCCTCGCCGCCGACGATGGCGAGGGCGAGGACCACGGCGTAGGTTGTGGCGAGGTGGGAGTTCTGCCCGTGGCCACCGCCGATGCCACCGGAGGGGTTCTGCATAGTTCTCACCGTCTTAATCAAGTCCTCCCGGTACACCGCCGTGTCGTAGCCCAGCAGGGCTAGGGCGTTGAGCGACCAGTACAGGAACCACGGGCGACTGGCGTCGGCGGCCACGTACGGCGCAGGGAACCGCCCTAGCTGCTTCTGGAGAAACCTAATGTGGTTGTCGCGGAGCAGCGAGGGCACGCCGTGCGCGTTGTAGTCGATATCGCCGTCCGTCGCGGCCAGCAGCGGGACACACTCCCGCACGGTCTCGTCCTGGGCCTGCGACGTGGCCGTCGTGAGCGCATCGCGCACGGGGGCGGCGCCGTGAAGAGGTCTGGCACGGAGGCGTTTGGCTCGATGCTCAGGACGTCGTCGCTGGCAGAGTCGTCGATGAACTCCTCGTCCACGTCGCTTTCTTGCGGGCGTTGTGACGACTCGCCGGCCTGGGCCTGAGCCTGGCCTGGGGCCTGGGCCGAAGCAGCGGCCATGTTTGGTGCTGCGCGCTTGATGAAAGTGACTTTGGGACGACGTTTGAGAGGTTTGATGCGGGGTCTCATCTCACTCGCAGCGGGAAATGGGAGAACCCGAGTTGTCTGACAAGTCAGTTCAAGGCCTCAGCTCTCATTCACGTATGAAGGTTACAGAATTCTCATTCCTGTCAAGGTCCAGAGAGCGGTCCTAAACCGAGATCTGTGGCTTTGAGTGGTGACGGTTGGAGCCCCTCTCACCTGCCACTGGTGTGGTGCTGTGTGAGGAAGTTCATAAAAGCGGGTTATCGGGTGTCTGATTGGCTGCTAGTCCACTACGCTATTACTAAGGACGGGATTCCGTCACCACCAAGACGTGAAATCACGATATCAAACCTCAACGGCATTCCTCTGGATGTGAGAGACGATCGAAATTGATGGATTGTTCTTTTTAGTCGCAATGATTTAAGTTGTAACCTAGTTTCTGATCAAAGCGTGGCTGAGCGCGGTCATACTAGGGTTAGCATGTAAGACCCCACCCCTCTTTCCCTTCTGATATGGCCAGGCTTCCGATAGCTTCCACTAGGACTGGAGACTGTTGCATTCTCAAACTCTTCACCCGGAGAACTATGTCGGTCTGGCTCTCCTCATCCAGACTAAGAATAGAATCGGTAATTGGCATCGATAGCGAAACAATACCAGTCCCCTCCCAAAAATATAGAAATGAAGGATCGAAGACATGACATGTCCTCAGGAGCGATGTTGACTGTCATTAGTCGATCAGTAGACTTGGAAGTCCTGCACCACAACCACTGCAGATCGCAACGCTCTACGAATATGATTGCTATACGACAATGGGCTGGAGTGATATGTTTCACTAAGATAGGGCAAACATCCACCCAAAAGCGGGTGTTATCCGTCTTGTACTTGCTGTCGGAGTCGATCTGTTCTTAGGTCCACCTGACGGAGGCTTTGTAAAACTCAATGTCGTCGGTATGAAAATTTTCGAGGCCGCTGGCACCGCTGCGGTGGCCAGCGAACCACTTGTAGTAACCATAGTGGTTCTGACAATCCCAGCGGGAAGCCATATCGGCATAGATATCAGAGCTGATTTAATCCAAGTCAGCTGAAGCTCTAAACTGCCAGTCATCCCATAAAAATAGGAGTTTACATCGCATATGGTACTACTAACTTGAGCTTGGCACCAATGTTCCATTCGCTGGTGGCAGCGCAGCAGCCCGATCATTCAAATCAAATCGGGGGGTATCGTTTGACTGTTTGTCTACTTAGCAAATATTTTGTTTGAATTAAAGACATTTTACTTAATTTCCTATGTTTGATGGATAACAAGCTGTGATATTGTGCGCGGCAAGGGTGCCCAATATTGTGAAAGGGGCCACTCCTCGAATTTTGAGAGGCTGAGGGCCAGAAATGATGAGACGATTGAGGAACACACAGCAATGGTCTAAGCGGTGTTAATCTTGATTACTATCTAGGCCTCAAAAAATAAAAATATTCTTCTACCGTTTATATGATTGAAACAATGTAGTAACCACACATCACAGAGCCATTGCTATAAGTGCCCCGTTCATTTCGAGAAAGGAGTTCGTACGCAGGAGCTTGAATCGCGATGGCAAATTACAAAGGGCACAATAGCGAGTAGACTCACTAGCGCTAACAGCAGAAGTGAAGCACGGCTAGTCACCAAGACGAGAAGAAATGCTTCAAGGTAATCACATACAGAGACTCCGTATACGCACGATGTCTCATCAGACTAAAGTGTCAGTGCAGAACAACACTTTCCGCATTACCCTTTGTGATACTCACGATGTGTAATGGATGATGCATGCAGAGCACTTGTCTAGAGCAAGTACAGCGATGAACAATGCTCATATTCAGAACACAGAGCCCTTTGCATGTCAAGTATACATAGATACAACGAATAGTGTAGGTATAGCTATACGTATGTGATTTTATCACATACGGGTACTGTAACCCATGCTCTGGGAGCTGTAGTGTGCAAGTGCAGGTACTAAATCGTAGTGTAAGTCCAAGATGAATAAAGTCAGCATGTGTCCCCACGACTTTGATTACACACTGACTAGACCTTTCTGCAACACACTATCACGTCGACTATAAGCTTGGTGGGGCCTGCTTCGATGCCTATGGAAAGACATACTGACGACTGAAACGAAGAGTGAAGTTTCACAAATTTGGCGACAATCCGTAAGAGGCTCACCTTTGTACAGTAGTCAGAAGTGAACCAACCGCAATCCAAGGAGCAACCACTAGTGACATATGAATAACTCTGGCGTCAGCTAAGTTGTTCAGAAGGAATATGAAATCCAAGATGAAGGATTCTTGCATATCCTGATGTCCCCAATCTCTTCCCCTCACATACACAGATATACACGAGACTCCTAAGAAGTGCTGTTGTGTGAGTTGATGGAACTGGAAAAGGGTTAATTAGGACTCTAGTGTAGTGGGTTCATGATGTCTATCTTTCTGTACACAGTTGTAGTCAAACCCCTTTGAGAACGCATTCTGGCTTCGTGTCGTTTAAATCAAGTTAGAAGACCCAGATTTAAAGTTGTGTGCTCCTCAAGGCGTTGGCACAGGCTCCCTGTGGTTCGTAAACAAAATCAAGGAAATCTTAAATTCCTTTCAGAATACTTCAGGTAGGCCCCATACGATCTCAATGCCCTAGCCCAAAACACTTATTGATATAAATCAACATTCTTTGCATGTGCATGATGAGGCACTGTACATCTTATTAGCACAGACCTGGAAGGTGCTGAACAAAGAAGTGCCGTTCTAACGCTGGCATAATAAGTAGGTACAATGCTATTCCCTCTATTGTATATCGGCGTTTGCGCTATATTACTCGATATCTTGTTCGCTTCAGTAAATCTTATTCGAGCCTTGCAACAGCAAATATTGGAGTCATAGGCACTTGCTGGAAAATCGGCGGGGTCTACAAGATCCTCGCAGGGCAGAAAGGCTGATGAGGTACAGGGGATGTGATAGGACAAAGTAAACTGTATTCTAACAATTGATATCCAAATATGTGGAATAGCACGTCTCCGTATACTTTATCTACATATTGATGAATCCTCAGCCATTCGCCAGCCTGCCGAAGACTTTAACGTAAAACGAGTCAGTCGTCAATTGTTCATCATCGGCGTTAGCGTAAGGGGGCATCTTCCGTGCCCGTAGCTGTTGACAAACACAATCAAAACATCAACCGTGTGCATGGGGGCGAGGGGCACTGCGCGAACAATCTGGCAGTCGCTGGCGCCCATGATCCGCCGCCTGTTCGTGGTAGCAATGCCAAAAATAGATGGGGCCAGAATACATTCCAGTTTCTTGGTAGTCAACACCCATCATCTGATCTCCGCTCAAGTTTGTTTACTTTTGGCGGCCCCATGGGGGTAATCTTAAGATCGACCTGTCCAAATGGGTTACCTGTCGCATTTGGATTGCGAGCTCCGTACCATCCCCAAATACCTAATCCAATTTTTTCAATCTAATAAATAGCTGCAAGCACATCTCCTTTGCAACAATCCGAAACCTCTTCTTGTAGACCTGAACAACACTGTGCTTTCTCGAGGAGTCACAAGTGAAGCAAAACGCTCCGCGTCAGGAGTGGTTCGATGATTGCTTTACGTGCTATTCGTGCCGTTGGCTGCAGCAGTCAATCTATCGGGCACGTTTGTCGTGTCATTTATGAAAATATCGAGCGTCGTGTGGCTTTGATTGTTCCTCAAGAATTTCACGATCTCATCTTGGCCGGCCTTAATAGCATCTTCGACTCCATCGTGACGCAGAAGCCCTGCGCCATTGCTGACTAGGAACTTAATTATGGAGGTACGGCCTTTCCGCCGAGCGGTTTGCATAGCTGTGAAGAAGTGGCGCTTGCTTTCGGTATAGGTGGATGTCTTTGCAAGATCAAAGTGTTTGACCAGCAACTTCATGGTAGATAGCCGGTTCCTCAACGAGCAAGCCTCCAGCGCATCTCTCTCGCCGGGGCCCAGGATTGCACCTTGATTAAGTAGCAAAGTGACGACAGAGTCATGCCCACCCAAAGATGCGGCTCTGAGGGCCGAGCCACAATGACCGATGGAATTGGCATCAGCCCCTTGTTTGAGAAGGGCGTCTACCCATTGAGCTGATCCCCCAAGACAGGCTGCTTGTAATGCATTCCCGAAGAGGCCACCTGATTCGTTGACATCTGACATTTTCTTTAAAATAGGCAAGATTACGTCTGGTTTTACCCCTCTATAAAGGGCTACTTGTCGAGAATCGTTGGCCCCTAGTATTGCTTTATCACAACGTTAGAGAGATTACAAACAACCAGCCAGCTGGATCGCTTACATTCCTGTCCTGTGTCGACTACAGCCGTTTGCACTGGTAAATAATGCTGAAGAAGCGTATCAACGGTTTCATGGTTACCATTATACGCAGCTGCCTTGACCAGACTTCTTAGATTTTCCAAATTATGGCATAAGTTATTGTTGACAAGTAATTTGATAGTAGGTTCTTGTCCTCCAACGATAGCAGCGTGAAGTGCCGTGCCGAATAAGCCCTCTGCCAAGGGGTCAGCACCATTTCTCAAAAGAACTTCAACAGTACTAGTGTGACCATGGTATGCGGCAGCTTGGATCGGGAGTTTGTATCGCCCACCGGTTGTGTTGACAGAAGCGCCACGAGCCAGAAGGAATCTGAGGGTCTCATCTCGGCCGTAGACTGCGCTGAGATAAGTCACCGACGTCCCAAGGTTGTTTTTCGCATCCCAATCCATGTTGGAGTTCTCATTCGCAAGCCGCTCAAGTATTGCCGTGATCCCATAAACTGAAGCGACAAAAATTGCAGACCGACTAGTAGAACTCAAGCCAGTAAGTTCCCTCAGAAGCGCTGTGGATATACTTCTCTCTGTCGCTTTGTCGACTTGCTTGAGAAGTTCATGGACATCTTGGAGCCATGCAACGAACTGGAAGCTCCGGTGATCGAAAACAAATTGG